GGCGAGAAGGACTTGGGGTCACTTGCTGTCGGTGGACCCAAAGTTAAAGGAATGTACCAACTGGTTCGGGAAGTTGATCCGGGTGTGGAAGAAGATCCGGTGGGTAACGAGACCGAGTCATCCAGACACAGTTGACTCATGAGACCTGAGACCTGACCGGTGGGTTCCGCTTCGATTGGAAGGAATGAGTCAGGACTGGTACGAATTGTGTCCATGTCGGTTTCGTGTAATCGAATCCGCACAACTCGGAGCAATCGGAATCGTCGAGACCGCATCGATCCGGCCACCGGTTTTGTTATGTAAGAATTGAGAAAACTATCTAGTGGAAGTGATGCGTGGAATTGGCCGGAGCGCAGAAGTCGCACAGAGACAGAAGTAGCACCGTGTGTTCGTTTAATATTGATTTTGTTCTTTTTTACTATTTCTTCATCACTGTCATTATCAGCACCGACACTAGTATTCACTTTGTTGTGATTTTCCGTCGGGTGGTTCGTGTGATAGTAGGAGACAACGGGGAAGCGGTATCCATCGAAATATTGACGCATTTCAATCAACTGGAATTAAAAGTAGGCAGAATACATACAAATATATTGCGGACATTAAACAGAATTAATAGATGCCAGTGCCATAAAGTGCATTCTGAGGGCCACTTAGAAACAACTCTGTTTCACCCGGAATAAACATGAACAGAATAACAGAGAAAAAATACAAAAAACTATACATTTTTAAACTATCGTCAGCCATTTCTTTCTCCACTTATGTAAAAGATGGATCTTTTATATTATGACCGATTGGAAGAACATGAGCAGACCCCGCGATGAATGCATCAATAGCTGTCCTACCGGTTTGCATAACTCATGGCTCATAAGCCGGAAAAAATGTTACAAGTCACCTGAAATGTGAGAATGTGAGGTATCAAGAACAAAAAGGTCTGTTGTACTGTGACTTGCATAGCACAGATTCACGTGCTTCTCTTCACGTGACTCCGTAAATGGCTACATATGGTACGTGAATAAACTTGACATTAGCTCTATCAAATGGTTGAATAATTTCATTCGAGTCAACAGATTACAAAAAAGTGAAGTACACTATCAAAAAGTTGCAAACAGAATGCAAGGGTTAACCGAAGTAGAGATAGTGTGACGCAGTGTGGTGTGTGTACTAGAGAAGGACGAGCTAGTGAACTGAATAGAAAAAAAGCAGTGACAAAACGCAGATAATTGTTAGTGTGAATTGCAAAGAACATATTATATTTAAATGGGTCACATCAACACAAAACTCCGGAGTCTATCAACGCCGGTCATGATCACACTGCTTCGGCTTTGAAGACTACACACACACACACACA